CTGATATAAAAATAATACTTACGGAGGATCCCGACCCCATGTTCCAGACAAATAAGCTATCCAGAGATGGCAGCCAAATTCACCCCAGGGTCAGGAGGCAGTGTTCTTATCACATCTCCTTCTGAGAGCAAGCCAAGAAACAGGGTTCCAAGAAATAAGATACCACGACCAGACACTAAAACCGAACACCCAGAGAGCATTTGCTTCCCAACCAAAGCCAGGGCCTTCTGCTGATTTGCCTCGTCCAAGAGTGTGAGTGGGCTGGAATGGCAGCGAGAGCCAGCGTGGGAGCTCTGAGAGGTGAAGGCCGAGGGCAGGGCAGACGACCAGAAAACCGCTATGATTTTAGTGCTGAGCAGCGCTGGTGTCTGTCCCCAGCTAGCCCCCTCCTCTGTCCCACCCTGATGCCACCACAAGATTACTAGTAAAGACACACTTCTTCGTGCTGCCCACCTTCAAAGCCTCAAAGCTGGAGGTCTGGAAGCAGATGGCAAGGAAATCCTTTCAGTAACCACTTACTGAGCGTACACTGCATGCCAGGCCTGTGCTCTATTTACATGAAGCTTCGTGGCTGAAAGAGTGACGCAGGAGTCCAGCAACACTGGGTTTGAGATTCTTCACCAGGTCACTTAATCTCTTGGTGGCCTGATTTTTCACTTGTGAACCCATAATGATAAAAGTATTAACCACATAGGCCGGGACCGGTTTGGCTCAGTGGATAGAGCGTCGGCCTGCGGACTGAAAGGTCCCGGGTTCGATTCCGGTCAAGGGCATGTACCTGAGTTGCGGGCACATCCCCGGTAGGGGGTGTGCAAGAGGCAGCTGATCGATGATTCTCTCTCATCGATGTTTCTAACTCTCTATCCCCCTCTCTTCCTCTCTGTGAAAAATCAATAAAATATATTAAAAAAAAAAAAAAAGTATTAACCACATAGGATTGTCAGGGATTGCATGGGATACTGCACACAATGGTAAGCGCTGCATAAACGGGAAGCATCATTCTTTGCACTTGTAATTTCTTTTTTCTTTTTTTAAAATATATTTTATTGGTTTTTACAGAGAGGAAGGGAGAGGGATAGAGAGCTAGAAACATCGATGAAAGAGAGACCATCAACCAGCTGCCTCCTGCACACCCCCCACCGGGGATGTGCCTGCAACCAAGATACATGCCCTTGACCAGAATTGAACCCGAGACCTTCCAGTCTGCAGGCAGATGCTCTATCCACTGAGCCAAACCGGTTCTGGCTGCACTTGTAATTTCTAATCCTACCCTGACCTTTCGGTGCAAATGCATTGCTTAAAGAGAGGTTTGGCTGCTGTAGCAAAGGTTCCGGTTGTCTGTGGCTTCGACCAAATAGAAAGTTTTTTCTCCTTCTAACACAGCAGTCCAGAGGTAGGTAGGTAGGCAGGCCAGCACAAGGGTGGAAGGTTTTTATCATGTTCAACTTGCATCTTCCACCATTAGGTTCAAATGGCTGCTTCAGCTCCCACCATCACATCTTACTTCCAGGCAGCAGGAAGAGGGAAACCAACCCCTTGCCCAGCCACCCAGGTGCGCCTGAGGCTCAGGTAACCAGGGCCGGCTGATGCTAGTGCTGCCGGCAGTGGCAGCAGCAGAGGTGTGATGGGGTGTCACCTTCTCCTGATCGCCAGGTCACGTCCTGCCCTTGAGGGCCCCTGGACTGTGAGAGGGGCCAGGCCAGGCTAAGGGGACCCCCCTCCAGTGTCTGAATTTTCATGCACTGGGCCTCTCGCATAGAGATCACTTTTATGCTTGAATATGCTGGACTTGGTGTGCTTCCTAGCCTTTCTCTCACAGCTGGTGGCTATCTCGAGGCCAGCTGAAACAAATATGCTTGGCTGTGAAGGCGACTCCCTCATTCTGCTCACTGAGCCAGCTTGCACTGTTTGCTGAGCAGGGTGAGCTTGAGGAAGATTTGGGACCACAGATACAGCCCTTACTAGGCCTGCCTGCTCCAAACTACCTCTCAGAACTAGCCTGAATGCATCTGTCTCGTAGGACTTTGCTTGTAGCAGCAAGCAGCAGCCAATACGCACCAGCAATCTCAGTGTTTCTGCCCAGTTTCCATGAGTGTTTCCATATGCTCTACCTTTCAAGGGATCACAGATGACAGACTTGTCCTATGTTTTGCTGTAACATAACAATGGTAGCCATCTTACCCACATACAATATTTTTCTTTGCTTTCTTCTGTCCATTCTTTAAACCAATGACACTTGTCTTAGGCTTTTAAAGCAGTGCTGCTTCCAGATACCAAAGTTTGCATTAGTTAGTATTTGTTTGGTTGTTACAAAGACCCTTTTTATTTATTTATTTATTTTTAAAAAATATATTTTATTGACTTTTTTTACAGAGAGGAAGAGAGAGGGATAGTTAGAAACATTGATGAGAGAGAAACATCCATCAGCTGCCTCCTGCACACTCCTACTGGGGATGTGTGTGTATATATATATATATATATATATATATATATATATATATATAATATATTTTATTGATTTTTAGCAGAGAGAAAGGGAGAGAGATAAAGAGCTAGAAACATCGATGAGAGAGAAACATCGACCAGCTGCCTCCTGCACACCCCCCACTGGGGATGTGCCCGCAACCAAGGTACATGCCCTTGACCAGAATCAAACCTGGGACCTTTCAGTCCACAGGCCAATGCTCTGTCCAGTGAGCCAAACCGGTTAGGGCTGTGTTTATATTTTTGAGTGTGGGGAACTTCTAGGACTAGGCCCCCGGAGTTCTTTTTCATTTTTATTTTTATTGATTTCAGAGAGGAAAGAGAGATAGAAACATCAATGATGAGAGAATCATTGACTGGTTGCCTCCTTCACACCCCCTACTGGGGATCAAGCCTGCAACTGGGCATGTGCTCTGACCGGAATGAAACCCAGCACCCTTCAGTCCACAGGCCACTCTATCCACTGAGCCAGACTGGCTAGGGCTCCAAGACCCAATTTAAATGACTGAAGAACGTTTATATTTCTTTCTTATAAGAGTTTATAGACAATCCAACCCTGGTAGGGTGACTCTGAACCCTTAATAAGCACCTTTCATCATGGGTATAAGATAGCTGTTCTAGCTCCTGCCATCGCAGGAGCATTCCAGTCAGCAGAGGGTGAAGAGGAGAAGTCATGTTTCTTTCTTGTAAGGCCTGACCTGGAAGTTGCTCACATCACTTTCACTGGTCTAGGTCACTGGCAAAATTTAGCCACCAGGCCATATTTAGCTGCAAGATAGTGGGAACCTGTGTTTACAACAGGCAGCCATTCCAGCTAAAATTCAAGTGATCCTATTCCTGAAGGAAGAAGAGGAAAACAGATTTTTGGGAGGCAACTGGTGGCCTCTGCCACCTCATGCTTTTATCCCCATTTTCCACTTGTGGGAACAGTGGGGAGAAAGTGAGCGATGCTTGCCTGGGTCACAGGGCCAGCCGACGGCAGAGCATACATTTCATCAGGTCCACCTGAACCCCAAACCGGCTTTGCATCACGTCCAGCCAACAAATTTGATCACCAAGGTGCCCACTGTTTACTCAGAGATAAAATTTGCATGTGATTCATTATGTAAAGGCCAGTCCTGTGCATGCTGAGATGCATCCATGGGACACTCACTCTCAGACCGTTGCAGTGAGGGTGATGCAATCAGGGAAAACACAAGGAGCCTCCTGGTTCTGTAGGTAAACCATGTCTGAGGTGGAGGGACGATGGAGCATTGCAAGAGAAGGGAATGGTGTGAGCTGATGTGTATCTGGCTTGTCTGGGTGGGTGGCCTGGTGGGTGCTTCAGATACCTGCAGGGACGGCCCACTTGATCTCTCTGCCATTTGAGGTGTCCCGTCAGCTGTGCCTTAGAAGTTCCATCATCTGACAGGGACTCTGTGGAAGGAAAGTGCCCTCACCACTGCACTATCCAAGACACACAAGGATGGGCACAGTCCCTTCCCTGCTGTGTTCTCCCCCACCCCCACCCTAAGGCAGGCCACGGGCTTTGAGGGACGATGGGAAATACATTCGATGAATGCAGCAAGAAATCCAGTAATCCACCAGCAAGTGTCCACTCCAGGGCCAGAGACTGAGATGGAAGAGACGGAAAGAAAAAGAGGAAGGGAGGGCAGAGAGAGGGGAGCTAGAGCAGCTGGGTCAGCATTCCTGATTTGGACATTGACTCGGACCCCAGGAATGCCAGGGAAGCGGGGTGGGCAGCCAGCAGAGCCAGGTTGGGACCCTGTTGGTACCGGAAGATGTGGAGATAGGAGACCCAGCAGAAGGAGGGCCTTGGGCTGCTGCACACCTGCACTCACCTTCAGACCACAGGCAGGAACAGGTGTCTCTCCCGCTGCGGACAAGGGCAGATCCCAAGCTCTCAAGCCCTGGAACACCTTCCAGAGGATCCTCACAGGTTCCCACCTGCCTGAACCCTCCCATCCTCCACCAGAGAGAGGGGGCAGACTCCCGGGACTCACATGGGGACATCCGTGCACATATTGGCCACCAACCCCGTGTCCCCAGCCTCCCGGCCAGCTGGCTGCAACTGCCCTGACTGGAGTTGGTACCAGGAAGAGAGGTAAGCTCAACCAGCTCTGTTTTTCTTCGTTTGACATCTGACAAAGATGAGAGAGGCTCTCAGAGGAGGAACCCACTTCCTACTCCCAGTGCCCCACATTGCTCCAAGCCACCTCTCCTCTCCTCCCCAACACACACACACACACACACAGCAGGGGCCTTCCTGCTTGTCCTCGGAGATCTAGAAGGCGGCCAGGGACCAGATAACAAGACTCCAGGCTGCTCCAGTGCTCTCCCCCCGCCCCCAGGTTGCCGGGCTGGAGCAGCTGAGCCGTGGACCCCTCCCTCCCTCCCAGCTGCCTGACACCCAGAGGGAAACTGATATGGGAGGGCGGGCTGCCAGGGGCCAGGCTCAGAATAGTGCTGCCCAGCCTCCGCGGCCAGCACTCCTCTCCGCAGGCCCCGCTGGCCCCATGGAGCCAGAGCTGGAGCACTCACTGCGCACGGTACCGGGGTCCCGGGGAGGCCGCGAGGGGGACGACGCCACTCTGTGTGAATGTGTGCGCGTGTGCGGGGGTGTGTGTGTGAGTGTGTGCCGGTGTGTGTGTGACCTGGATTTTCTCAGTAGAGAGCATGTGGGTATCTGTGTGTATATATAATTTGTATAAGTCAGTGTACCTGGGAATGGTAGCATTTGTTTGTTTCTGAGTGTGTGTTAGTACCTGTGTATGTGTGTATGGGTGTGTATTTGTGTGTGTTTGCGGGGTGAGTGTTTGTTTACATGTGTACGTGTTTGTGAGGTGCCTGTGTGTGTATGTGTTTACGTGTGCACCGTGGGAAGGGAAGGACCCGTGCTCCAGGACGTGGAGCCTTTTCTCTTCTCCCCCCAGAGCCCGTCCTGGAGCAGCCGTGTGGGTTCTCAGCACCAAGGTAGGCGGGCCGTCCCTCCTGGGGGGCCCCGTCTCTTTTCTCCGGGCCCAGTCCCACCCCTCCACCAGCCTGGCTTCGGTCTGCCTCCCCTTTCCTTTGTTTGCTCTTTGTTTCTTCTTCCTCTCCCTCGCCTGCTCCTTCCTCTTCCAAAGGAAGAGCCGGTGGGCCCAGAGTCTGAAGACGCAGGCCCTGGTCCTGACGTTACCACTGCCCAGCTGTGTGGTTGTGGCAGACTGTCCGACCTCTCTAATCTCGCTCTGAGGTTTGGATGAGAGATCTCGGAGAAAGCCCTTTGAGAGCCTGCACATATTAAACGTCACTATTGTGATATTTGAATGGATCCTGCCACGTGATTCCCTGCTAACCAAGCAGGCCCCCTCCCTGTTCCAGAGATGAGCTTCCTGGAGCAAGGAGACAGCACCCCGTGGCCGTCCCCCGCCGGGACCACCCGCTCAGAGAGAAGCCGGAGGAGGCGGGGGGCCAGGGCCTCCAGATGGACCCGGCAGGAGGCTGTGGAGGAAGAGGATCGCCCGGGCCTGGGGGAAGGTGAGGCCAAGCCGGTTCTAGGGAGGGGGGGGGGGCATGCAGTGTGAGGCCCCAGAGCCTGCGCCTGGGTTTGTCCTTGATTCTTCCAAAACACAGCGTCCAGCCCAACCCTCGTCTCTCAGCCTCAGTCTCCCCACATGGGAGGGAACTGCCGCACTGCAGAGCCAGGACTCCGCATGGGCCTTGCAGGACAGAAACCCTGTGAGGCCCCTGCGACTCCTTGAGACTCAGCTTTCTCATCTGCAAAATGGGGCCCCCGCCATCCAGGCTTCCTACGGCTGCTCTGAGGGTAAACTGAGGCGGCACACAATAAGGCGTTTTGGATGGTGGAATTACTGTCCTCCCCCCTCACACAGGTCCCCCGTCCAGGCCAGCTGCTGAGTCCGTTGGGCTGGAGTCCACATTCCCCACGGCCGCTCCCTGGGACATCCTCCCCTCCGAGTGCGCCATCTCAGCCACCGGCTCCGGCCGAGAGTTCCCAGCCACGGCAGCCTGCGGGCCTGAGCCCAGCCTGGCGGGAGAGAGGCCTGCCCCGTGCCCCTCCCCGCAGGCCCCGCTCCCCAGGCAGGGCTTGGATGACGAGCTGCAGAAGCCCGGAGCCCAGGTCTACATGCACTTCATGCAGAAGCACACCTGCTACGATGCCATGGCAACCAGCTCCAAGCTGGTCATCTTCGACACCGCGCTGCAGGTGAGGCCGCTGCTCTGCCCGCTCCATCCTCCGGGGTGCGCCGCCACTCACCCCCCCCCCCTCCGGGACCCCGAGCCAGGCCAGCCTCCCAGCGTCCCCTCCCCAGCTCCTTCTCAGCACCCTGGAGACCAGTGCGGGGAGGCCTGCTCCTCTCTGTGAGCAACCCCCAACTGTCATCACAGCTCCGCCCTCAGCACCCTGGGGTCCCGGGCCAGCCACGTTCCCTCTCTCAGCTCTACAATGGGGGTGGGAATGCAAAGGACTCCTAGGACCACCCAGGAGAGGTGGGAACGCTTTGCAAACCCTGACCGACGTGGACGATATCCCTGAATGGCTTGGGACACAGGGCAGGGGACTTTCCTACCAGATAAACAGATGAGCTCTGGCCCCTGTTCGCCCTTTGGCTGAGCTACAACGTGCCTATAATTCCACCCATAGCATCACGTGTGGTAAAGCAGAGTTTCCGAAAGCAGGACATGCGTGCCGTCCACAGTACGTGGTTTGACTCTAGGGACTTGTGAATAGGTATATTTATCTTAGTAGCTTTGTGTTTGTGTTCATATGCATTAGAAATACAACCAGCACGTTTAGATAGCATTGCTTAGGGAAGGCCAAAAAAATGAGTCCATGTAAAATTTACTTAGGTAAAAGCATTTTGTAAATCCACAAAATAACTATACCTCTGGTACTTATATCAGCAAAATTATTCCGTGTGTGTCTGTGCACAGGTGACTTCTGAGTGGGAATACGGCTGTTTTCACCCTCTAGTGCCTGGGAGGGGATCACCCCAGTCCTCTGGCCGCCAGCAGCCTTTTCTCTGTAACAAACGCCCCGTCGGGGATGTGAGAGAGGCGGCTGGCGGTGTGGAGGGGGCCTGTGAGCAGGGAAGCCCAGTCGGGACGGGGTATCCCGGGGCCAGGGAGAGACTCACCCCGGCTTCTCCCTGTTCCTCAGATCAAGAAGGCCTTCTTCGCCCTGGTGGCCAACGGCGTCCGGGCCGCCCCCCTGTGGGACAGCAAGCAGCAGAGCTTTGTGGGTGAGGGCCAGGAGGCAGAGGGCTGGGGAGGTCCCTCCGAGGACGGGCCTTGCCTGGTGGTTCTGCGTTTAGTGTTCCCCTCTGGGGAGGAGTGGCCAGCTGGCCTCTCCAGCATGATGGCCCCAGGGTCCCGGGTCCTAAGTGCTGGGTAGAAAATGGGGAAAGGGAAAGGAAGAACTTAGGAGAACAGGAAAGGAGGAGGGGGGGGCGGAGAGAGAGATTGGAGAAGAAAAAGAGAAACCCATCCCTCAGGCACAGGAGGGGCTGTTCTCCTCCCCTCCTCCCACAACCCCAACTGCTGCCTCAGCACTAGGACACGGGAGGGCCAGGAGGGGAGTCTGGCCCCGCACCCTGCCTCCCGCCACAGGCCCCAGGCTGCTGCCCCAATACCCGCCTCCCCCTTCACACAGGGATGCTGACCATCACAGACTTCATCCTGGTGCTGCACCGCTACTACAGGTCCCCGCTGGTGAGGAGCGGCTGGAGTCCAGTGGGCACCGTCCGGGCTGGGTGGCGGGGGGTTCGGAGCCCGGTGCCCCGGGGCTGCGTCTGACTTCCGAAGGCCGGTCTGTGTCTCCAGGTCCAGATCTATGAGATCGAAGAGCATAAGATTGAGACCTGGAGGGGTGAGCGGCCCGAGGGGACCCTGAGAGGGCTGAGGGGCGTGGGAGAGGGTGGGCGGTAGGGGTTTCCTGGATGAGACGGAGGAAGGGGGACGGGGAGCCCAGGGGGCCTGAGGGTGGGGAGGCACTGGGGGGCTGTGTGGTCAGGCAGGGAAGCCGGCTCCCTCGGCCTGACTCAGCTTGTTCTTCAGAGATCTACCTTCAAGGCTGCATCAAGCCTCTGGTCTCCATCTCTCCCAACGACAGGTGAGCGTCCCCACCCCACCCCTGAGCCTCCCTGCTCTGCACAGTCCCCTTCCCCACCCCGCGGTCCTGAGCACGCCTCTCATCCTGGGAGGCCCCCCAGGCAGCCTCAGCCCCGACCCCCGTCGAGGGGGCCGGGACGCAGGGTCTCTCTCCCCAGGCTGCCTCAGGCTCGCTGTTCCCACCCCTCAGCCTCTTTGAAGCCGTCTACACCCTCATCAAGAACCGGATCCACCGCCTGCCCGTCCTGGACCCAGCGTCAGGCGACGTGCTCCACATCATCACGCACAAGCGGCTGCTCAAGTTCCTGCACATCTTCGTGAGCCCGGGGCGGCCTGGCCACCGGGGCGGGGGCAGCCGGGAGCCCTGGAGGCTGCTCACCCTGACGGCACCCCCTGTCCCCAACCCAACCAGGGCGACCTGCTGCCCCGGCCCTCATTCCTCCGCCGAACCATCCAGGACTTGGGCATCGGCACATTCCGAGACCTGGCCGTGGTGCTGGAAACGGCGCCCATCCTGACCGCCCTGGACATCTTCGTGGACCGGCACGTGTCCGCACTGCCCGTGATCAATGAGGAGGGTACGCAGCCAGGACAGGGCTTGGGGTTCGGGGGGCCACGAGAGGCAGAGGTCTGTGTGGCAGCAGCTCAGGGCCCGGGGTGGTGTCTAGGTTAGAGCTTTGAGCCTTGGACCAGTTACTTGGCCTCTCTGTGCCTCGGTTTCCTCATGTATAAAATGGGCATCTTAACAACACCCATCTTGTGACTTCAAAGGACGATTTTATTTTTCAACATATTTTATTGATTTCAGAGAGGAAGAGAGAGGGAAGAGAAAGAAACATCAGTGATGAATCATTGCTTGGTTGCCTTCTGCACTCCCCCTACTGGGGATCAAGCCCACAGTCTGGGAATGTGCCCTTGACTGGAATTGAACCTGGGACCCTTCAGGCCACAGGCCGATGCTCTATCTACTGAGCCAAACCGGCCAGGGCCAAAGGATGATTTTTAAAGGTTTATGTGCCATCAAATGAACATAATGAGAGGAAATAGATAAGGTTTTTCATTTTAATTAACCCTAAAATGGGCCATGGCACCTTGTTAGACCTCAATTTCTTACTCTGAAAAAGAGAGAAATTGCAAGACCACTTCTTTGGTAAACCATGGTTATAAATGATTTAAAAGTTAAATTGCCACAATGAAGCTACATATCAAGAAGTATTCTAATTTATTTTTTATTATGAAAAATTTCAAATGCATGAATCTAGCCATTGCCTAGATTGGCAGTTAACATATTGCCATAATCAGTTCTTTTCCTGAAGTAATTTAAAATAAAATTATAGACATCATGCCATCTCACACCTAAACATTTCAGTTTGCATCTCTTAAAATATTTCCTCTAACACCTAACAAAACTATAAGTAATTTATTAACGTTACCTAACATCCCATTCTAATTCTCATTTCCCTGTTTTCCCCAAGCACAAACACATACAGCTGATCTGTACAAACCAGGGTCCATTAAGGCCTATGTTTTGCTCCTTTTGTCCTTTAAATCTTTCAACTCAAAACAGTTCCCTCCCCACTGAATTTTTATGCGGTTGATGATGAAAAGCCTGGGTCAGCTGTCCTATAGAATATTCCATCCACCCCCAGCTCTGCCTGTCTGCTTCCTACAGGTGGCCTTTGCCTGGCCCTCCATTCCGGTTTCCTGTAAACCAGAGATTAGATCTAAGACTCTCCCAGATCCAGGCTAGGACATTCCATAGGTGACTCAGCGTGCTCGCACTGTGTCAGGAGGCATGTTGGCAGGTGACCTGGGTCCAGGTAGTGGCCACCTGATGCCTCAGGATAAAGCTAGTAGTCTAAGGGTGGGTGGGGTGGGTAGCGAGGAGTTTATTCCAAAAGCCCAGCCCAAGCCCTTGCACAGCATCCCGATTCTGATCTGAGCATCCCCCCCCCCCCTCTCTCCACCTGCCACTCCTGCAGGTCAAGTCGTGGGTCTCTACTCCCGCTTCGATGTGATCGTAAGTGTCCTGGGGAGCGGAGGGGCGCTGGAGCTGAGGGTGCTGCAGGGAGGCTGTGGGTGCGAGGGTCAGAGGCGCCTATAGAATGAGTGAGCAGCAGATATCCGCTGGGCTGGAGCCTGGCTGAAGGGGTGGCTAAGAGCGGTCCTTCCCTCCCTGCCCAGCACCTGGCTGCCCAGCACACCTACAACCACCTGGACATGAGCGTGGGGGAAGCCCTGAGGCAGAGGACGCTGTGCCTGGAGGGAGTCCTTTCCTGCCAGCCCAAAGAGAACCTGGGGGAAGTCATCGACCGCATTGTCCGGGAGCAGGTACCCCGTGCCCTCATACACGCTTCCAACACACAGGGCCCAGTCCTTCTCATGAGCTGTTCCAGCTCTCCCACCCGTCCAGCCCCTGCCCTGCCTCCTAGTTCACGGCCAAGCTCTTGGTGTCCACTCGGGTCGGCAGCTGGTCCTATTGGCCCGTGTGCCATGGCCACAGCCCTCTGACCACACAGAGAGGCCAGGACCTTACCTGGTTTCTAAGAGGCACTCTCTGCTCTCCCAGTGATCTCCAGTGGATGCCCCTGATTCTTGATGCCAACCTCACTGGTGCCCTGCCCCCTTACCCAGCCTCTGTGGGCCCACAGGTACACCGGTTGGTGCTAGTGGATGAGAACCAGCATCTCCTGGGCGTGGTGTCCCTGTCCGACATCCTTCAGGCCCTGGTGCTCAGCCCCGCGGGCATTGAGGCCCTCAGTGCCTGAGAGCATCTGAGTCCTCATTCCCGGACCGCCTTCTGCAGCCGGAGCCAATGAGGGAGCCGGCGTCGGCCTTCATCTCCCCCCACCCCCATTAGCTGGTTCGACTCTGGTTCAGGTAGGCTCTGCCCTGGGCTTCTGGCCTCAGCACCAGCCCCGTGGGCTTTCTGGGCTCCCAGGTCTCAGAAGGAGGCCCCTGAGGATGGGAGTGGTCCAACTCACAGCTGAGCAGCCCTGTGGAACCTATGAGTGTCAGGACTCACCGTGGGGCCGCCACTTTGTTCCATTCTTTAAAAAAAAAAAAAAAAAAAAAAAAAAATATATATATATATATATATATATATATATATATATATTATTGATTTCAGAGAGGAAGGGAGAGGGAGAGAGAGAAACATCAGTGATGAGAGAATCATTGATTGGCTGCCTCCAGCACGCCCCCTACTGGGGATTGAGCCTGCAGCCGGACATGTGCCTTGACTGGAAATTGAACTGTGATCTCCTGGTTCATAGGTCAATGCTCAACCACTGAACCACCTCAGGCGGGCATTTTGTTCCGGGCATTCTGTAGTTGGGGTCCTAGCGCCCCTCCTAAGAGGGGTGCACAGGGCCCAGGTAGAGAAAGACAAGGGCAGGTGAGGTGAGGCCAGGCACTCTGGGGATTAACCTGCCCTCTCACAAATCAACTCCCACCTGCTTGACATTCCTTTACTGAAGGAAGCAAGTTAATAAACATGTGTTGAATGAATGGAATTTCCCTGCTCAGTGAGAACTAAGGCGAAAAGGAGGGAGTTTCTAAGTACTCACCTCAGAAAATTCGACGTGACCTCAGACTTCTTCCTGGGAGTGCGTTTGCTAAGGGTTGGCATAAGGTTGGGACGAAAATTTCGCCAACTCGGCAGTGAATGGCCAGGCTGAGGTTCCCCTGTTGGGAAGTCAGCCTCCTCTCCGAGGCCATTCAGTCACCATCTTCTTCTCTTCTCCTCGCAGGCTTCTCCAGCCCTCCCTAAATGCCCCTGCCCTGACCTGCTCCCAGAAGCCCTCGGGAATGCCCAGTGCACTATGGGATGATGCAGCTGAGTCAAGCCTAGAGGTCCCTGAACCAGAGGCACTGGGATTGCCCTAAGGCCCACTGCTCCCTGTCCGCCCACCTCGCCTTCCCCCACCCGGGTCCTGGCCGCGAGCCCTCAGCCTCTGGGTAGAGTCAGGGGCTCTGGATTCTTCGGAGCTCCTAAGAGTCCCAGCTGTTCTTCTCCCCCCCCCCCCCCATAACCTCTGACCTCCTACTCCCCCTGCACTGTCGTTTCGGGACTGCTGGGGGCAGCAGTTATTTGCAGAACTGCCTGTCAGCGTGGCCCTCCCTCCGTTCTCCTCCTCAGCTCTCACCTGCAGACAGTGTTTGGGTTCGCAGGGATGGCCCTGTATTCAGGTCACTGGCCATGAATAATGGAGAAAACAGAAACAAGAAGGACCGCCCACACATTTAGCTTTTATACGTTTCGCTCAGAAAATGCTACAGTCATTTGATCTTGGGGCAAGATCCCTGCACTTTCTGAATTCGAAGACGCAGAATTGGCAAACACTGCAAGCGGCGTTTCTTTTGTGCACAGAGTGTCCTATCACCAAAATGCCTTTTTCATCTTTTATTTATAACAAAACCATAAAGAAAATATTAGTTACGTACATAGTGGCTACAACTCACACCATAAACTCTGTTCTGCAAAAAAAAAAAAATAACTTTAATTTTCTCACACGGAATGTAATTTCCATTAGGAAGCCCCATTTACCAGGTGGTAGACATTAATCTCCGTCAGTTTTGGGTTCCCCTTCCAACTGTTTCTGGGGTGAAGTCCGGTGATGGGGGGAGAGGCTTTCAACAGCATAAGAATCTGTTCCTCAGTCTTCATCGACCATCCACGCCAGCTCCTGCTAAAACATCCCCATCCCATCCGGCTGCCACTGGGTTGGTCACAGGTGGGCGTGGCCCCTGGTTGGTGCCCTCACTCCTTACCATGAAGCCTCGTTGGCCTGCCTGCTCTCGGGACATGAGAACATCCTGGCTCCTGGCCTCACCCTCTGGGCTTCAGGAAGCTCCGTGGGGCAATACCAGGCCCATCCGCTGAGATGCACAACACGTGGCCTGTTCTCCTCAGAGACACAGCTTTCCCAGCCTTTACCCAGGAAATATGGGGTCCGGGCTCTTCTGCCCTTTCCCCTCCAAGCTTCTCTGGGGTCCTTCCCCTCAGACAGGGGTCCTTCTCAGGGACTCCAGAAGCACCCACCCTCTGCTTCCCCCAACCTCACAGTCTGTGGGAAAGAGAGGGCATTTTTCTCCAACCCATCATCTGTTCTTCCAGATCCACTGCGTGTGTCTGGAGTTTCTGCCAATCTGTCTAAAGTTTGCTCCCACCCTGTTTGCCTCACATGCTGGGTCAGGCAGCACATGGAGGCATTTTCTCAGACTCTCAGCTTCTGCGTCTGGCTTTGCTCTGCTCTGGCCCCGCCTGGGAAGGTCTCGGGCTCCAGTGGAAGGACAGGAGGGGGTGCTTGCTCCCTCCAGAGACAGAGTCCTGAGGGGCTGCTTCTAGCTGCGCGGGCTCCAGGGAAAGCGCGAAGGGTCGTCTTCGGGGGGTGCCCTGGGCTGCTCGGCATGAGCAGACCTTCAGAGGCCACGGCACAGGCCTCAGGGGAAAGGGCAGCCGAAGGAAGGCGGTCTCCCACTCAGAGCAGATGGGCCGGCCCTCCTGGGCCCACCGTCCGAGGACCACAGTTCACCCGCCTGGGGAGAGCGTTCTCTCAGCCACAGCTACATTTGCTGTGCGGAGTGCATGGTGACTCTTCCTCAGTTATCCTCCATCCTATTGCTCTTTCCTTACAGTCAGGTTGGGGGGATTATCAGGGAGCCTCACTGTGACATCCTTCACTGTGAGCCCTGGGGGCCGCCCAGAGTCCCTGACACCCCAGCTGCTGTGCCTCGTCACCGGCCACTGACGGACGTTGTGCCAAACCTCAAACCAGAGCTGGTGTTTTCCCCACCCCAGAGAGAATAGTGCAAAGAAAAGAGCTCATGCTATTACATCACATCCGTCCTGTCAAAGAAACTCACATTAGACAAGTCTTGTCTGGGCACTGTGCTGGAATTTTAACTGTCAGAGGCCATTCTCAAATCCCCAAGACAAGCCAAAGAACTTCTTGTGCACACCTGGTCTATGTGCATTGTTCTGCAGCTATATTATATTTCTATAAAAATCTCATAAAAATTAGCCTGGCCAGTGTTGCTCAGTGGTTGAGCATCGGCCCATGCACCAGGAGGTCATGGTTTGATTCTCAGTCAGGATGCATGCCTGGGTTGCAGGCTCCATCCCCAGGAAGGGGCTTGCAGGAGGCAACCAGTTGATGATTCTCATCCTTGTTGTTTCTATCCCCCTCTCCCTCCCCTGAAATCAATAAAAACATATTCTTTTAAAAAAATGTTTTAATCTTATAAAAATTAAATTTAAAAAAAAACCTCTAGTACAAAGAGAAAACTTCTTTGGCCGGGTTGGATTTTGTTTTACTCTGTTTGGGGTAGAAGTTTTTTATTCTTTTCTCCCCAGTGCTGTGTGTGAGCGCAGGGTTTTGTAGCTGTGCTATAATAATAGCTCTTCGGCTCTTACGTCTTGTGGGATACGACGTTCACTTATCACTGACAGCAAGCCTTTTGGGGGGAGCCTCTGAAGCTGGGCCTCCTTCAGCAGCCTGCTTAGCTCCTGTTTGGGCTCTGCATTTCCGATTTCCGATTGGAGGCTGGATTTCAGGTCCCCTAGTTCCTGCACAGCAGTACAGTGCGCCTCCGAGTGTCCTGTGGTGCCTCAGAGGCACTGCTTCCATCGCAGCTGTTTCTGCCAACGCGTCTCCATCGATTTCTTTCCACTGAGATACAGTTCAGATACCATTTAAACTCCTTCTTTCAAAGCGTGCAGTTCAGTGGTGTTAACACATTCACAAAGTTGTGCAGCCATTGCCACGATCTAATGTCAGACCATATTCATCATCCGAAATAAACTCCATATTCACCAACAATCTCTTCTCACGCTCCTGTCCTCTTGGCTTCTGGCAACCACTATACTAATCTACTTCTTGTCCCTACGGATTTGCCCATTCTGGTCATTTTGTGTAAATAGAGTCATACAAGATGTGGACTTTTTCAAGAAGATGGCAGAAGGTGGTTTGACTTTGGGTAGAGGGCACACGAGGCAATATGTAGATCATGTGTTATGGCTATCTACACTTGAAACCTGTGTGATCTTATTGACCAATGTCAGTCACCCCAATAAATTTAATAAACATATGTGGTCTTTTGTGTCTGCTTTCCTTTATTGACGTCATGTTTTCGAGGTTTGTCCATGATGTGGCATGAATCAGTACATCATGCCTTTTTATGGCTGAATAATATTCTACCTATGGATATACAAGATCTTCATGGATTTTAATGGGGAATTAGCCTATCTGTTCATTAGCTGAGCTGTAGATCATACACATTGACCCTCTTGGGTAGATGCTACAAAGCCCTACGTCCAAGCCACATCCCACCAGCATCCCCCACCCAAACGCCGGCACTGAGGGGTTCGGGTTGCTTGGACAGCTCACCTTTGGTGGTCTGAAGGAACAACACACGGGGAAAGGCAGACGTCTGCTTTGGCTGGCATTGCGACAGGGATCCTGGCCCCCTCTGGGCCCAGCCCCAATCCTCTGCATTTATAAGGAGCTCTCCCGGGTGAACCCCTACACAGGTAGGCTTGAGATCTACATCTTTATAATCTGGAATTCCTTCCAATTACCTCCAGGTTTCTCCTCTTAATATGGAAAGTTCATATCCATCCCTGTCCTTCCATTTCCTTCCTCTAATCCCAGTCTCTGCTCATTAAGTAAACATTTATTAATCACCTCCTAAGTGCTAGACACAGAATTAGACCCTGGGATCCAAGCTGAAAGGAGCTTGATCTGTGCCCGTCACGGAGTTCACAGCTGGATGGGGAGACAGTCATGTCTACAAGGTGAACAAACTGAGGGGCTCAGTTCTGTCAGAGAAGGCAGATGGGGGAAAGCACAGAAGGCAGCGCTCACACTCACCAGAGGGGCCAGGGAAAGCTCTGCAGAGGCGGACGTTTGAGGTGAGTCCCGAGGGAAAGCAAGTTCCCTGGGGTTCCATGCCAGTAGGGGAAGACGTGGTTCCAAGGAGAGGGGATATTAAGCACAAAGTATTGAGACCTCAGAGAGCATAAGGTGCTCAGGAAAATAAAAGGAATTTGGGCTCAGCTGTGGCAAGAATATCTGGGCTGGAGGGGAAGGAGAGAGTATGGGGGATAGGGTGCCAGGACAGGAGCCTTCTAAACCTGCGAAGGAGCTTGACATTTGCCTGAGTGCTAAGGGTGTGAGTGTGTCGTTGTTTCTTCTTTCTTTCTTTCTTTCTTTCTTTCTTTCTTTCTTTCTTTCTTTCTTTCTTTCTTTCTTTCTTCCTTTCTTCCTTTCTTTCCTTTCTTTCCTTTCTTTCCTTTCTTTCCTTTCTTTCCTTTCTTTCCTTTCTTTCCTTTCTTTCTTTCTTTCTTTCTTTCTTTCTTTCTTTCTTTCTTTCTTTCTTTCTTTCTTTCTTTCTTTCTTTCTTTCTTTCTTTCTCTTTCTTTCTTTCTTTCTTTCTTTCTTTCTTTCTTTCTTTCTTTCTTTCTTTCTTTCTTTCTTTCTTTCTTTTCCTTTCTTTTTCTTTCTTTCGGGGGGTGGGGGGAGAGGGGACACTGAAGGATTTTAATCAGGACAATTATGTGTTTTTAATGAGTTCAAACTCAAATCCCCACAGACATAAGAAATTTGACTCTTGTTCTCTGGGACCCAGCAGACATTTACAACTGCGCCTGGGACTCTGTGAAACTGGGTCTCACTGACTCCTCAGGCTTGCGATACGGTACATCGGATCTCAATGCAAAACCGCTTTCCTCCTCGTTAGCGTTCTATCTAAAAGAGGCTTGGAAGCTAAAAACAATGATCCCCAGACTCCCTGCAGCTAGCGTTCCAAGGGGGACTCGGGCTCCCCTCTCAGAGGTACCTGAGAGAGGTTTGTAAGGTGGTTGTGAGGCAGAGGCCACGCTTCTGCTGCCTCTGACCTTTCCGGAGGCATCGCAGAGGTCCAAGCCCAGGACCAGCAGCTGTAGTGAGAGCTTCCCAACGCTCCTCCTCACGAGCAGCTAACGCGGGCTCCCAGGCTGGTAGGCGCCTGGTGAGGTCCCTGCAGAGCTAGCCCAGAGCTCTCCCGGAAATCTGTACAGCACCTTGCAGGGCACACATCTGAGAACTTCCTGCTCCAAAGAGGGTGCTGTTCTCAGGGTCTAGGAGTCTCTCTGCAGCGCCTGCTCAGGCGGGGCCTCAGCCAGTTCCAGGTGAAGCCAAGGCCAGTCTGGGAGGCCTGGGGAGCACAGGGTGTTCTCAGTTTCCATGGAGGGAGGCGGCTTTGCCTCCCCCAAGACTCCAGAGGAGAGAGCGTTTCCTCAACACAGAAAGGGGCTCAGATGCTGAATCACCAAAAAGAATGACCGAGGACTCCCGTTACCAATGTAAGTCCCTTTATTCTACATAAAGGAAAGCAATGTGACAAGGCGACGGCCTTTTCTCTGACAGGGAGGTGAGCACAATGATAAGAGTAGCAAAATCTCAGGGTCTTATGGGAAGTGCACTGAGTTTCTCCAGCCTTTGGTATCTGGCAGCCTCCTCTGCTCTTCCGCCTCTGAGCCAGGGCCATGATCAGAGATGGCTGTGACAGGGCCAGGGTCTCCCGGCAAGCCCCAGGACGGCAGGAGCCGGCTCAGCAGGGCCTCTGCAGGAAACGCAGGCCCACATTTTTATTGGGAACCAGGACGATGCGGGCCACGCTCCTCACCTCCCCTGTCTCCGGGGCCAGGACCACCTTGTACTGCTGCATCAGCTGGAGGGAAGACGCATACGGGGTGGTTAGAGTCTGTGATCGTCATCCACTGCCCTCCTTCGCCTGCTCCCACTCCGTGCCTCCTCCCTCTCCTCCCCAAGGCCTTCTTTACCCCCCCCACACACACACACACCTCCTGCCTCTCCCCACTCACCCTTGCCAGCAGCAGCTGCATCTCCAGCTCCGCAATCCTGCGGCCCAGGCAGGCCCGGACCCCGTAGCCGAAGGGCACAGAGCCGAACGGGTGCTGGACCCCGAGGGTGTCAGGCTGGCTCTTCTTCAGCCAGCGGTGGGGCTGGAAGCTCTCTGGCTCAGGGAAGATGCTCGGGTCCCGGGACACCACATAGTGGCAGAGCACAAACTGGGTCTTGAGAGGAAGAATCGGCAGCACGTCAGCTGAGGGTTACGGGCCGCCCCTGGAAACCCCGGGTCTCTGGCGCCACTCACATTCTTGGGGAAGAGGAAGCCACCAACTTCGATTTCCTTTTCCACGATCACCCGGGAATTTATGGGGACCACGGGGTAGAGGCTGCGGGGGACAGAAAACGCGGGCCTGTTCTGCATCCAGGAAGGGGCAGAGCGCTCACCCCTTCGGTCCTACCTCTCCGGTGCCCCAGGCCCTTCCTCCCAGCCCTGCCCTCAGCACGCCAGGCCCCGCGACCCACGCCTGTCCCTGGGCCATCCCACACACGGACCCTGTGCTCCCCCAAACGGCAGCTCACCGCAGGGTCTCCTTCAGCACCGCTTTGAGCAGGGGCATGTGAGCAAAGTCCTTGTGCCGGGGCGCCTGGCCCGTGGGCACCACCCCTACCACTTCCTCGTGCAAGGCCTCCTGGACATGCGGGCTCTTGGACAGGTGGTACAGGGCCCACGTCAGCGTGTTGGAGGTCTGGGGCACAGAGCGGGGGGTGAGGTGAAGGGGGGTTTCTGGGAAAGAAGCCAGGTGGGTGGTGGGAGAGGGTGCGGACGGGTGATGCAGGAGAACAGCGCGTCTCCCACTGTACGGAGGGATGGGAGGGTTCCTGGGACCCTCCACACAAAACGCGACTCCGCGGTGGGACCAGGACCCACGAGGGAGGACCACCCTCTAACGACACGGGAGGCTGTCATGCAGAGAAACCGGCACGGCACGGCACCGGAAGGAGATCCCACAAGGAAGGGCCTTTGTGGACAAGCGTTCAACGCGCCACTAACGGACAGCGCCAGGGAGCCGCGTGAGGTGTGAGAGGAAAGCAAGGCTCCACGGGGATGGGCCCCACAGCAGAAGGACAGTGCCCTGCCCACCTCTCCCGGGCTGAAGCCCCCCCTCCCCATTCTCCTTCTAGCCCTACATCCGCCTTACAGAAAGAGAAGCAGGTACCTGGAGGGGTGCAGGCCAGGTGGGGGACAGTGGGGAATTGGATCAGGACGGGAGCCCCGGTCTCCTCGCCGGCCCCCCGCACGCACCGTGTCTACGCCGGCCATCAGCAGCTCAGGGAGGCTGCCCATGGCCTCGTGGGGGCTGAGCTGCCCACTGGTCAGCAGGAAGTGCAGGTAGCCCGAGATCTGGACGCCTTCGGGCCCTGCTGTCTGCAGCTGGGCCTCTATCTCTCTGAGTTTCTGATCAATCAGTTTCTTCCCTACGGGGGCAATGGACGACAGGGCAGGGCAGGGTCAGAAGTCACGGTCCCCAGGAACCGAGCGCCGCTCCGACAGCTGGCGCCCGGAGGGAGGAGGCCCTGGGAGAGCCCGCTCATGCCTCTCCCGGCCCCTCACCAAACGAGAAGATGGTGTCCCAGCCGTCCAGGTACCGCTTCCAAAAGGGCAGCAGGGGCCGGGTCCACTTGGGGAGGAAGGTGGCGTAGAGCGAGTTCTGGAACATGAGCCCCACGGAGCTGACGAAGGCCGCCGTGTCCTGGGGGATGGAGCGCTCCAGGCAGCCGATGCGCTTCTCAAACAGGATGTAGCAGATGGCTGGCGGGGCACAGAGGCAGACCCGGGCGGCGCCATGGCACGCAGAGCCCAGGGGGCTTCGAGAGGCCAGGCACAACCTCCCCCTGGCCCGCGCCCACCCGGCCCCGCTCCCCACATCGGTACCTTCCAAGGCGAAGTAGTAGAAAAGGTGAGCCATGTCGGGCACCTGGTCCCCAGAGGCACTCTCTGCCCGGACCTGGTCCAGTCGCGCCATGAAGCTGTCGATCACCTCGTTCAGGGCATCGGTGTAGAGTGCCGCCTCGGCGGGCTTCAGCATCCGCTGGTTCAGGACCTGGCGCAGCTGGTACCAGTGATGCCCTTGCCTGCGGGGAGCACAGGAGCGGCACCGAGGTGAGCGTCTAATGGGGGTTAGATGAGGCGGCTTCTTCCCGCCAGGAGACCGCGGTGGAGGCTAGGGCAATCTCATTGTGAGGTTGAAAAATGACAGGATCACCCAACTTTCAGACGATGGACTCTTTGAACCACAAGCTTTAGAATGTCACTGCAGCAGAGTGGACGTGGTTAGGGTGGGCATCGAGAGCCAGATGCCTGGGGGGGGGCGAATCCCAGGTATAATGATCACTGGCTGAGTGACCTCAGGCCGGCTGACCTGAACACCTTTGTGCCTCAGCTCCCCCTTCTGTAAAAATGGGGATAATAAGAGTGTCCATTAAAGTAGGGTTATTTAGATAATTAACACACTTAGATTAAGCATGTGGCCAATGCTTAAAGAAAGACATGAAAAGTCTTAAGAATCAGATGTTTTATTTTTTTTAAATTATTTGTTTAAAGAAACATCAAACCCCAATAGTTTCCTTTATTATATTAGGGAAAACTTGCAAAAAAAATGTAAACAAAAAGTGTTGCTGAGAAATAAATGAAAACCTGAACTTATTGAAAATTCAGGTTGTAGGGTAAAAATCTACAAGAGTGGGACTCAGATGTGAGGAACTTAAATGAGAGCATTTCTGTGGCTGATAAAACACATTCTTCTTGGGGAAAATACTTCATGAGATGAAATCTAAAAATATATATGTTAAAACAAAACACCCTTATTGTCATAGGTCAGCAAAGTAGTTTTAAATACATATTTATGGCATAATGTATGTAGGAGCCAGGCTTTAGAGCTAACGTGTATAAATCAATGACAAAGGGGTGTGTGTAAAGTTCAGTTTCAATTCTAAATGTGAGCCGTGAAGGCCAGAGGTGGCCTGACGTGGCAAGAGCCTGTGACCCGGATCTTGTTCTACGGTCAGGCATCAAGTTAAAGATTTCCTGAAGAACAGTCGTTCCCTACCATGTTTCCCCGAAAATAAGACATCCTCCGAAAATAAGACCTAGCGCATGGAAAGATAAGACATCCCCTGAAAATAAGATCTAGCTCAACTTTGGGAGAAAAAAATAATATATTTTCGGGGAAACGGTATTCTCCTCCCATAACTTTGAATGACAGGAAGTGTAAGTTCCGAACTATCCACCTGTGAAGGAGCCGGGAGAAGGAAAGAAAGCCGAGTGTCTAGGCATCAAAGACAGAGGAAATGGACCCACGCCCCACCCCCTACCTTACCCCCCACACTCTCTCCCCCTCCCCCCCGCCCCCACCCCCTGAGGCATTGTTGCTGCTACTACTACCACTACCAGGAATGACTCTGACCCCTTAGGAAATGACTAAAACATGGACACCAAGCAACTAGGAAAAATAAAAGCCATTCGTTGTTTCTGGAGCGCTGTTAACATTCCGGAGGGAGGAAGGGAGGGATGCCTGTAATGTATCCAATCACAGCCTGTGGCATTGGGAATAACTTATCGCCAGTGACTCTCAAGTATGTGCCTCGATTGGCATATGGGTAGATAACATACTCAGCCCTTCCTTTAATCTGAACTTTTCTAGATATAACTTCAAGACGGAAACCTAAATCTGTCTCTGTGTATGAAGAGCATCCATGAAACATACCAAACAAGCAGCATACAATACATAACTCAGGAGACATTTTACAAATGAAATGGAAGCCGGGGCCGGTGTGGCTCAGTGGATAGAGCGTCGGCCTGCGGACTGAAGGGTCCTGGGTTCGATTCCGTGCAAGGGCATGTACCTTGGTTGCAGGCACATCCCCAGTAGGGGGTGTGCAAGAGGCAGCTGATCGATGATTCTCTCTCATCGATGTTTCTAGCTCTCTATCCTCTCTTCCTCTCTGTAAAAAAAAGCAGTGCTTCCCCTGTGGGAGTGCACTGACCACCAGGGAGCTCCTGCGCTGAGTGTCTGTCCCCTGGTGGTCAGTGCATGTCATAGCTTACCGGTCATTCCACCGCTCGACTGATTTGCATATTAGGGTTTTATTATATAGGATAAGGCCAAGGAAGGGAAAATTATTCATTTGTCCAAAATCACAACATACTGGTGGAAACGTCAGTGAATGGTTCCCAGGGTTTAGTCCATCCCAACCACTGCTTTCTGGGCTGAGTATCAGGCTCAGAGGCTGCAGGGAGAGCCTGCCCTGCTGTGATCTCCTGGCTGCCCAGTCCCCCAGCCCCAGCTCACGTGGTGAAGGGCCCGTAGGCCAGGCCCTGCAGGTCCCGGTGCTCCTTCCACAGGTCCATGTCGTTCCGCACCGGGTACTTGCCCTCCTGCCGCATCACCTGCTCCAGGAGGGGGGCGCTGGCCAGGTTCACATGGCTCTGAGGTCCGACACGGGTTATCCACATCGGGCCATACTTGGCCTTGCTCAGCACCTGTGGGGTTTGACCAAAGCTGAAGAACCATGCCCAGCCAGGCAGTGCTTCATGGAGAGAAATCAATAAAAATATATTTTTAAAAATCTATATTATTTTGATTAAAGAAACCATTTACTGTTAAGAATATATAACTTCTCTGCTAAACATCTGACTTAGTGGTTCGTAAAAATAAGTTTTTTTCAGGTATGTCATCATTGGAACAGGATCAGGCATATACTCTAAGCAATACCACGTTAGAAATAGCTATACTTTTCTTTCAGCAGCAGAGCAATCCTCCCACGCTGTGTAATTTATTCTGATGCATGTTTCTTCAAATCCTCGGCAATATTTTCTAAGCATCTTCCAACTGTTTGCTGACAAACGAATGTATTTTATTTTACAGTCATATTTTCGGGTTATTTTCACATTTTAACATTTGTTTGCTTCTATGTGTGTTTCCCACCTTTCTAGAATCAACCAATGTCTCCCCAGTGCTCTGTGGATTTTGGTCTTTTGGCATTAAATGTTTCATTAAGTTTAGCAAAAATTATAAAGGATTTCATCATCTCTAAACATAATTGAAAGAAAAACCTGTAGGCATTTAATAAATTTTGATGTTCTGAACACTTAAAAAACAAATAAAAAATAAATAAAATGAAAATAAAACGATGTGCTATTTAAAATAAAATATGATGTGCCGAAACCGGTTTGGCTCAGTGGTAGAGCGTCAGTCTGTGGACTGAGGGGTCCCGGGTTCGATTCCGGTCAGGGGCATGTACATTGGTTGCGGGCACATCCCTGGTAGGGGGTGTGTAAGAGGCAGCTGGTCGATGTTTCTCTCTCATCGACGTTTCTAGCTCTCTATCTCTCTCCCTTCCTCTCTGTAAAATATCAATAAAATATATTAAAAAATAAAATTTAAAAATTAAAAAAAATAAAACGATGTGAAACACCACAACTCTGCAGTAACCGGAGGTGTCTCACAGCACTGCGGACACTCTGGGCTGGATAATCCTTCGCTGTGGAGCCTGCCCTGTGCAGTATGGGATGTTCAGCAGCATCCGGGTCTTTACCCACCAGCACACGCCCAAGCATAACAACCAAAACTGTCTCCAGATATTGTCAAAATGTCCCAGAGGGGTAAAATCACCCCAACTTGAGGACCTCTGCTATAACCCCAACTTCCTAATGTGTCTCTTAATTATTTAATTTTAAAGGGACTCTTTTTGATAAATAATATCTCTTTTCGAAGAAGTATTTATTTGAAATTTGATTTCTTTTCCTTCTGTTAAGTTCAAGTCACATCGCCCGTCACATATTTATAAAAACCCAAACACAGGTTATCTCTGAGTCAGCTTATAGGAGTTTCCTTTCTTCTTTATACCCTAGTTTTTAAAAATGTTCACCATGAACTTGGAACGAGGGGGGATGTCATGTTTTAAAAGATTAGACCAAAAGCCAGGTACTTGGGCTTCTCCCCTGGAATCCAGAGACCCTGACGCCATGTTCCCCGGTCGGTGTGGTGGTCTCTGGGACGTTTCCCCCTCGCCCGGGCCCTGCTGTCTGCCGTCCTCCTCCGTCTTCTCGCTGAGTTTACGCAGTGGGATTAACGAGGATCTATTTCTGTAAGAACTTATTTTAGGAAGACACCAGAACACTTGCTGAGAGATGTGAGCTGTGTCTGTGTGCCAACCATTAGGCCGTAACCTGAGCACATTAGAAAGCCCCACGTGCTCAGATGGGCTCTAAGTGCCACTTCGCAGGGCAGAACCTCCTAAGGCAGAGGTCCTCACCTTCCTGATGCTGCGGCCCTTCAGTACAGCTCCTGGTGTGGGGACCACAACCATAAAACTATTTTCGCTGCTACGTCACCACTGTAATTGCGCTGCTGTTCTCAGCTTGCTAGCGGTTCTCAGCCTAAGGCCACCGGAAAACACGGACGTTTACATTACGATTCATTAACAGGAGCAAAGTTACAGTGAGGACGTAGCAGCGAAAACAGTTGTATGGCTGGGTCACCACCCCATGAGGAGCTGTGTGAAAGGGCTGCGGCATCAGGAAGGTGGAGGGCCGCTGTCTAAGGAGGCATCTTCTCCAGGACAAATGGCGCGGCTGGCCTCTGCCAGGTGACATTCCAGAGAGGGAGGGCATTGAATTCATTCAGTAAAACGAAAGTGTTTACTGACACAGAAAGATACTCAGGTTTCTTTTGTAGTAAATGACAAATAACGAAAGAGAGTAGATGGTAGCTTTCATTTTTAAGAACAGGTTATCTGTAGGTGACACATGGGGAGAGAGTGGAAGTCTATTCACCAAGGACAAGCCAGCAGGGACCATGCCTACGTATTCTCAGGATCCTGTGTGTATTGACGGGTCCATTTCACAAATGCTTGCCCTGAACTGCACACCCCCTCATGTGTGCAAGACACTCTGACACATGCAGGGTGTCGGGGTTAGGAAAGATTTGATTTTCTTGTTTTTGTGTCTTTATGTTTTCTGATTTCTGGAAATAATGTCAACTACTAAATCAAAGCGATATTCTTTTAAATGTGGTATGAAATCACAAATAATTCGCCTGTAACTCATATTTATGTGACTTTTTTTAAAAAACGGGTAATTTTTATAGGGAAAAATATTGCCCGTCTCGCAGTCATGTGATTTCGTCTGAACTCAGCCAGCCGCTGCTGGCAGCGGTTGAGGAATCGGGACTGCTTGGCAGCAGATACTGTTCCAGCTCCAGCCCCAACACTCACAGCCTTTGTCACTCTGTTGGGTAACAGCTCCGCACGGCATCCTCCCCGCGTCCATGCACACAAAGGCCTGGACGCAGCCTTCCCTGACCCTCAGCTGAGTGCCCTGCAGTCCCCCAGGAATGCCAGAGCCTGCTCAGCGCTGCCTGGAGGCCACTGGCACTGCGCTCCCTCAGTCCCCCAGGAGACAGCGTCTCCTGCTCTCTGGGTTCTGATGGAGTGTGGGCTTCCTCCCTTTTCCCCTAGAAAAGGGCTCCTTACCCTTGGGTTACCCCATGCCTTGCATTGTACTCATCGGGCCCCTTTTGTTCCGGGAATGTCCTTCTCTGCGGGGACCGTTCTTATCTTCACTCTCTGGGTGAGCAATAAGCTAAATCTAAACGTGCCCACTGGACCTTTCCCGAAGAATCCTCACGACTTGGCCTTGCCTTGTGTAGTGTGTGAACTCGACAGGTGTGATGTCCCACACATGGCTGGTAAAGTTACAATGCTTCTTTAAGACCTGGCCAACAGCCGAGAATGGTTTGGCTCAATGGATAGAGCGTCGGCTTAGGAACTGAAGGGTCCTGGTTCGATTCCAGTCAGGGGCATGTACCTTGGTTGCGGGCGCATCCCCAGTGGGGGGTGTGCAAGAAGCAGCTAATCGATGACTCTCATCGATGTTTCTAACTCTCTATCTCTCTTCCTCTCTGTACAAAATCAATAAAATATATATTAAAAAAAATACCTGGCCAATAAACGGACTTCCCCGGTCCTAGAGAATGTAAGTGGGGAGAGATGGAGGGGAGGAGGGAGTAGAGGAGGAGAGGGGAGGAGGAGGCAGGGGAAGGATGTTTCCATTAGGGGATGTGCAGTTCAGGGTAAGACAAACAAGACTGACCAGGTAAGACTAACATGCAGAGTGAGGGTCTCCCCGCAGTCCTACCCTCTGTCAGTAAGCGACCCCTGAAAACGGAAAGTCAGCAGAATACCGCACTTCCCGCTGAGCACCCCCATTCCCTCCCCCGGGATTCCCTGAGCTTCCAGCCTCTGCAGATTCCAATCCCTGAGCTTCCAGCCTCTGCAGATTCCAATCCCTGAGCTTCCAGCCTCTGCAGATTCCAATCCCTGAGCTTCCAGCCTCTGCAGATTCCAATCCCTGAGCTTCCAGCCTCTGCAGATTCCAATCCCTGAGCTTCCAGCCTCTGCAGATCCCGGAAGTGCCTGTGCTAAAGTCTTTCATCCGTCCAAGTGTCTGTGAAAAGTGACTAACAGTCTGGGGCAAGAATCGCCGTGAAGAGAGAACAAAAGGGAAAGTGGTTCTGTGAGAGAGAAGCTGTGAGCTCATGGCCTCCTACACTTGCAAAAATGCAAGGCCAGTAACAAACGTTTAATTGTGAGCGTCACCCAAGTGCCAGGAAAACTCCTCTGACGGCCAGAGTGTCCGTTGCGTAATGTCTTGCTGATTGGCGAGCTGGAAGTCCCCAGCCAAGGTCCTCGCTGGAGACAATGTTGTGGAACGACAACACTGAGCCCCTTGGCGATCAAAGAAAAACCGCTTTCGCCAACCAAAACACAGAGGTTCCTGACAGAAAAGCTGCACCCCGTGATACTGAAGATCATCTCCAAGGGATTTTCTTTTATTTTTTTAATGTATTTAATTGATTTTTTTTTTTTTTACAGGAAGGAAGGGAGAAGGATAGAGTTAGAAACATAGATAGATCACCTGCCTCCTGCTCACCCCTACTGGGGATGTGCCCGCAACCAAGGTGCATGCCCTTGACCAGAATCGAACTTGGGATTCTTCACTCTATCCACCGAGCCACACTGGTTAGGGTTAAAACCCTTCCTCCTCAAAGTTGATAAGGTCACAACATATTTTTGGAAAATAGATTAGCAAGGAATAGAACAGGATCCTGGCGGGCATTAGCAGACCTGCTGTGTTTAGTGACGAGGCGATGAGGGTCTTTGATCCTTGTTCCTGGGAGCCCTGGCGAGGTGGTTTTGTTGGTGTTTAGAATAAAAGAGGAGAAGGCCCCATAACAAATTTAAAAAGCATTTCACGGTTGTTCCTTATCCTGAAAGTGAAATTGCTTTGCTTGGACAGCTAATTGTGATCACAGCTAAAATGCTCCCTGGTCTTCAAGGGCAGTTAGCTCCTCAGAGATACTGAGGTCCCTGCTTACAAAGAGCAGAAGTGGAGAAGTTACAGACAAGTCTGGGCGAGAACCTAATGGAACACAGAAGTCTGGTTGCACTGACTTGCAGAAGAGAAAGCCACACCAGTTC